CATCAGACACAGGCTGCGGCGATGCATTTCACCCTCCCACCATCGGCCGCCACGATGTGTCAGGGACCTTTGCCCCAGCTTCCCGCTCTTTCTAGTGCTTAGGCTGGTGCTACCACTTCTTCTGTCCTCTTGTCACAATCGGCTCTCCCCCTCCCTCCTCACTATCAGCCACCGACATATGTTCCACAGTTTGGACCGGATCGCCTTCCACAGTTTGACGGCAAGGCCTCCGAGCTCCAAGGATGGATCACTAGTTTCGAGGAGCAGCTCCGCTACCATGGCGTCGCCATGGAACTGTGGCCCGTCGAGATGTCATCCCGTTTCACAGGTCGCGCAGCCTCTACTTGGCGTGACTTCCTCGCTCTTCGATCTCAGCGGGGTGTACAGGAGGGCATGAGCTATCAGGAGTTCCGCGATTTCCTGCAGCAGTACATTTCTCGTCCTGCGCCGACCCGCGACCCGATTTCCCGGGTGGCCGAGATCAGATGGCTTGGTGGCGACAATGCCCTCGAGTCATATATCACGGCATTCCACCGTGTACACGCCCCGATCCCCGTCACCACCATACCAGAGGATCCCATGATCTAGCGATTCCGCGCAGGCCTCCCCCAGGCATTCCAGCAGCAGATGATGGCCTATTCCATCTCTACGTTACCAGAGGCCTTCAACATTGCTCGGGCCAGCCATCTATCTTATGCCCCACTTGTTGGCTCTTCGCCTCAGCCTCCCGCCACCTATGCTGCTGCTGCTGCAGCACCTCGCCCCCCCCAGCCTCGATAGTCTTCCACTTTCCGTCGTGGTCCCCGTAGAGGTCCCGGCCGATCGCTCGCACGACGATTCCACGCACTGCTCCGTGACCCGTCGAGTGCAGAGGAGGGCGCAACCTCGGATGGTTCGGCGAGTGACCCAGACCAGGGGTCTGAACCTCAGTCGCCCCCGGAGGACGACACCCATTCCCAGGACGATCGCTTTCTGCGGGCCCTTTCCGCTCTCTTCCGGCGACAGCCCTCATCATCCAGGACTCGGTCCACGGTCGCCCAGTTGCCTCTACCAGCGGGCTTTGTGTTCCCCCGCGGCCGTTTGACTATCACGGAGAGTGAGGAGCTTCGCGCACGAGGCATCTGCACCCGTTGCTGTCTCGCCGGTCACACCCCCTCTACCTGCACGTATGCGGAGCTCTCCAGAGCCATTTTGCACAACAGGCTCGCCCTCAGGCTGTCCCCCCCGCCTCGACCTCCAGCACAGCAGCCACCTAGCCACGATGTCTCATTCCCCTGAYCCTCCCACAGTAGCAGGCATTCCCGCCCGCGAGTCCACCTTCTCGCCACTGACTACTTTCTCGGAGAACTCGGACTCGACTTCCTTATCGGTCGACCCTAGTGTTGCCGACCCACCTCCCACGCCTTCGCCTAGCGTCTCTCATGACCCCTCTCCTCCTCCTCGTCCTCCTACTAGTCGTGCCCTTCGCACGGCCCGCTGCAGTGCCTCCCTTATTGCAGCAGAGGATATCATCGACTTCCTGGACCTTGAGTGTGTTAAGGTCCGCCAGGAATGTCTCCGCTCTTAAAGAGCACACCCTCGCCGCGATCTCCCAGCGCTTACACAATCCCGATCGCACTTTACCGATTATTCCTGTGCGCCTCGGGACCTCTACTAGAGTCTATCGCGCATTATGGGACTCTGGCTCTACTGGCGACTTCATCCATCCTCGCGTAGTCAAGGAGGCATCCCTCTACACATCTTCCTAATCCTCCACTGTCACTGTCACCCTTAGCGACAACCAGGCCAAATCCTTCGTCGATTCTGTGGTGCCTGATCTTCCATTTTTCTTTCCCTTGCGGATGCCCCGTAGCCTTCGCAAGGCCCCCCGGTTCCAAGACCAGTGGACTTTCGACGTCATGGAAACCATGTATGACCTTATTTTCGGCACTGCCTACTCACATAAATTTGCTCATTCTGGCCCCGATTGGGTCCACAACGACCTCGTCCTCTACACCAAGGACGATCAAGGGTATCGTATTCCGTTGTTGGGCAAATCGGACCCTACACCTCCTCCCCCTGTTAATGTCGCCATTCTGACACCTATTCACTTTAACCACATTCTTCGCCAGCCGGATGCCGAACTTTACATTGTCGACATCACGTACCTTCTTACCTGCAACTCCATGCATCAGGACGTGGAGTTGGTCGAGCTCGATCCACCACCCCCCGAGCCTCTAGATCCTCCTGATTCGTCGGCTCCTTCCATTTCCACGTGCTCATCGCACTTTGTCGCGTCCTTTGACAGGGAGACACCATCCGCACCTATCCCTACGCCGACTCCTTCCACTCCTGCTTCAGACGCTGCTGCTGCTATAAGGAATTTGATGACCTCCTAGCGACCTTGCAGCCAAGCGTCGCTACTCTCCTTCGCGAGTATCGCGATGTCTTTCCTTCATC